GTGGGACCCTGGGGGGGGGCAAGTCCCTGACGGGGATCGACGGCCCGGAAACGGAACGAAACGACAGATGGTTCAGCATCCAGAGCATCGAGGGAAGGCAAGTTGTCAATAGCGTCCAGCGCTTCCTGCGGGACGTTGTTAACATTGGAGTAAAGGTCGAAATTGTGTTCAATCCACCTACCCAACTGTTCGGTCCTGCTGGAGATAAGCTCACCCGACCTGGACCTCAACAGAGCCGTCCTCGCCACTGGTCTCCCAGTTGCTCGCTTGATCCTCTCGTACATGCCTCTAACATTGCCAGAGTCTGAGGCCCGCTGAATGCTGTCCGACAGCTGCAGCCAGTAGTTGTTTGCGCAGCGGCGAGCCACTTGTTGGGCCCGCTTCCGAGCCGCTCTCAATACCTGTAGGTTCCGCTGGCTTGGATAACTTTGATATTTAAGCATTGCTCTTCTTTTGCTGCTGATGGCAGGTTCCAACTCACCGATGTTGGCCCCAAACCAGTCAGCACTATTTCACTCCTTTATGCCATTGGCCAAGATAGCAGCATTATAGGTGGCGCTGCGGAGAGAGCACCGTCCACCGACTGCGCGCTCTGCTCGTTCGGCAGGGAGCAGCTCCGCAAGATGCTCGACTAAATTTGATTTCTTGCAGGACAGGATGCCTTGCTGGTATCAATTCTCGGCTGGCATTTTCTATTGAGGGTGTGTAATTTTTTTTTGTTTAATCTTGATGTTAGATACGACCAAAGAGTGGTCAGTATCGCAGTCGGCGCTGTGGTATACTCTTATGTTTCGCACGCTGTTCAAAGAGCCGCGGCGTGTGTTAATTAGGTCCAGCTGGTGCCAGTTCTTCGATCTGGGATGTTTCCAGGGTGCCCTGTAGCATAGTTTGTTCTGGAAGAACGTATTTGTCACGCACAAGTTGTGGTGGCAGCAGAATTCCAGCAATCTCTGGCCGTTTTCATTCATTTTCCCGATGCCGTGATGACCCAGCACTTCAGGACAAGACTCGTGGTCTGTCCCAACTCTGGCGTTAAAGTCGCCCACGAGGTATATATGCTTCTACATTGGGATCCAGTCGATGGTATTCGCCATGAGTTCGTAGAACCTATCCTTGGTCTCAGGCGGTGCTTGGAGCGTTGGTGCGTAGACACAAATGATGTTTGCAAAACCAGCCGAGGTTGAAAGACGTAGGGTGAGGATTGTCTCCGTGCCACCATGTGGGGGCTCAATCGTGCGGAACAGGGTGTTCCTGACGGCAAAACCAACTCCATGCTCCTTCACATCCCCGATACCTCTCCCCTGCCAGAAGAAAGTGTAGTGTTCCTCTTTTAGAGAGCCATCTTCAGGGAGTCGAGTTTCCTGCAGCGCTGCTATATCCATGTTTAGTCTATGTAGCTCCCTGTCAATCTCTGCGGTCTTGCGAAAGTCTGAAATGACACGGAGGTCATCGGAAAGGCCAGTGCGCATTGTACGCACGTTCCAACTTGAGATTCGAAGTGTGGAGACTCCATCTGCTGATGCGGTACAATGACTCCCCCACCGTCGAAGTCAACCCCCGGAGTCCAACTCTACGCCAGTTGAGCGAGGACTTATAGCCCGTTAGTTATCGTAGTTATCGTCTCCCGTCGGTGCTCACACACTGGACAAGCGTCACAAGCGTGACCTCTCAGGGGCACAAGCCTGTGCGGAAGTATGGAGATCATGCGCTGCCCAAACAACAGGATCTCCCCTTCGGTCGTGCCGACTGGGTCCAAGGTAATGCAAGCATTACGTTTGGAGCCGACTTGACTGCAGGAGTTCCCGGGAGGACGTCCAAGTTGACATCCAGCCGCCTTATTGACGCCGACTCCAGATTTGTCCTCGAGGTTTACTCCTGAAGCCTTTCCTGCGTGTAGGTGTAGCCGCAAGGCAGCGGAGTTTTTTTTTAAATCAGGGTTTTCCTTCCCCTAGATGAGCAGTCATTCTTGACTAACGAGCCTCATCTACCCGGAAACAATCACTGCGTGTATTGAAAATAGAGAACTGAACTGTACATATGCGTCTTTTGATAATAGTAGTAAATTACTTGGGCGATTGCATGACCTCGGTTCCGGACATTTATGTAGGACCTTCGAAAGTGAGCCACTGGTAGAGGCGAGCCTTGGCTAGCAAAGTCCCGCTGTGGCCACTCCGTAGAACTGACTCTGAAAAAGCGAAAAACCATCCTATCTTCAGCTACTTAGGCTGCCAAAGAAAACACAATTTAGCCGCCACGCACCGTTGCCCGAGGATTTCACTGCCAGGCGGTGAGGGGAGGCGGCAGAAGTACTTCCGTTTTCACGGTTTACTTAGCCGCGCGTTGGCCAGCCAGTAGTGACGTGGGAGTGACGAGTGTCACCTAGGGTGGAATATCCGAAAAGTTGACTGGGATGGAGTTCAATAAAAACGGATGGAGTTCAGTTACTTATTTCATAAGTAGCGCGATTAAAATGCAGTAAAATGCAGTTGCACAGTGAAACGTGGTAAGGGAACAGTGAAAATCCCAGTCAAGTCAGTTCAGTCAGTTTACCAACACGGAAAACCAACCATCCAATGTAATTTATTAGTGGAACCAGATGAAATCTTTCCTGCCGTCGTAATTTCACTGTTTCACTCCAGTATATTTCCATAAGGCGATCACTCCAGTATATTTCATAAGAACACTTCATTTAACACACACTTCAGCCCTGGTCCTGCCAGTTTCACTCCAGTATATTTCATCAAACACTTCATTTCAAACACAATGAAAAAAGCTTTGATTTAATTATTAATCTTAGGGCCGTAGCCCACTTAAAACGTGTTGAAGGCTCTGTGGAAGATCAGTAAAACGTGGTAAAGGGAAAGGGTAAATTCATATCATATATCATATATTTAATATATATATTTCTTCTCAATAGTACTCACACTTATATAAATATAGAACAATCACCTCTTGTCTACTCTGAACGAATGGACCCGCCTGCTGGACGAAAGGGAGCCAGTAGATGCAGGGTACCTCGATTTTGCCAAGGCATTTGACAGTGTCCCACATGAGCGGCTGTTGCGTAAAGTGAAGTCTTTGGGAATTGAGAGTAAAGTACTCAAATGGATCTGAAAATTTCCAGCAAGGAGATGACAACGTGTCAGTATTAATGGGACCGTATCAGACTGGGCTTCAGTGCGCAGCGGCGTGCCACATAGCGTTCTCTCACAAAGCGCAGCGGCGTGCCACAAAGCGCTCTCTGGCCTATTTTATTCGTTGCGTTTATAAACGATCTGCCAGGAAAAAACTGTGTCTAGCGTTTGCTCGATGTATGCTGACGACACAAAAGTTTATAATACAGTGAGGAATACGTCGCAAAAAGCACAGTTGTAATGTGATCTCGACAGTTTGGTTGACTGGACTGATAAGTGGCAGCTACGGTTTAATGCTGGCAAATGTAAGTTAACCCACCTTGGCAAGGTACAGGGTGCGGCGTGGGAACTTACTCTTTTAAAAAAATCACAAAGTAAAAAGTATTAAAGATAGCGTTTTAATTCTTTCTTTTTTACAAAGAGCTACATTTAAAGTTTCGTTGGGTTTACTTACAAGTTTAATTCTTGAATATTACATCTTGTAGGTGACCTCCATGCTGTTCAAATCGACTTGCAGCCGAGACGTGGCCATGACATATGAATAAGGGTTTTAACCCATAGAATACCCATAGAATAAGGGTTTTCAAGCCAAACCCATGGTTTAAAACCATAGAAAAAGGGTTTTAAAGCCAAACCCATGGTTTAGGCATGGTTAAAGCCAAACCGGAAAACTGTATATTTTCAATTTAAAATCTTCATTATTGGTAATTTAGGGGTTTTAACGTAGTCACACGTTACTATTTAACATATTCACAGGCAGTGAGTTAAATTGTCAGTTTATGCAACCCTCATTTCATAAGGCACCATTTATCAGTTATTGGGCGCTGTCGCTTACAAATCCGAGTTCACTCATATATATGAAGTGGTCATATTGTCCAAATAGTGACACACTTTCTGCAGGTAGCACTGAAACGTACTTATGCCGGCAAAACTGAGTCAAGAAGGCCCACACAAGGGCAAGAAGTGCATCACTATTTGTACTAAGTCGTCGATTTCTCTGAGTGTTCCTGATAAGCCTTTCAAGATAACGTCACCTCACAAGTAACATCAGATACTTGCATGTCAGACGCAAGGCAGACATGCAAGGCAGTAAATTAAATCTCAAAATAAATGATGGTTACTTAACTTCTTCTAATTAAAATCCGCAAAAAAAGGCCACTAATATCAGGCAATGTAAATTACATATGAAGATATTTTCACATTGTTTATTCCCCTTTCGGTTTTTGAAATTAAAAATTAAACACGTTGACTCCGAACGAAATGTATTTCTCCAGGACGAAGTGGTACATAATTCAGGGTTTCCATATGGCCTAGAAACGGCAAAGTCAGCGAACACAAATAGGCCAATAATGGCTTATAACTCAATATATACTAGTATATTTGTAGGTTCCGGTGTATGAAATTGTATTTCTTTTTTTTTAATTTAATTAGGAAGTATCCCTATCATAAATTTTAGCCGGCCAACTCAATTGAAAAAACTAAATCGCGGAACTTTCCCCGGAAAAAGACCGTCTGGCAACAACGTTTCATAATTGTACAAAAAATGAAATAATAGTACAAGATGAGGCAATCAAAGTCAACGTGTTAAATTCTGAAGGTAATTTTTCAAGAAATTAAGTGCACGGAGAAGAATCAGCGCTCATAGCGCCAGCATGAATATGCGCCTTCAGTGACTTCCATGACTAAAATATTTATTTCCTGTTTATACGAATACTGGAGCGATTGGGGGAACCTCTCTTCTGTAACTAATTGGAAATATGAATTAGTGGGAAGATGCATGCTGATGTCAAAAATCGGTGCTTCAGTTCCCAATACAACCATTTTGTGACGCGTTATCAATGATTGTTCCTAATTTTGCAATTTCAGGAAGTATTTTATGGAATGAAAAACTAGTGTTATTGTAGATGTACAGAGTACAGGGAAATTGGCTTGCACACAGTACAAGTTTCAGTAGTTTATACGAGATATACATCCAATAAGCACCACGTTTCATTGTCTACGTGCAAGTATTAAACAAAGAAGGGGTTTATTTAAGCGTCTCCGCCTCTCGCCTGATTTAGGATTAAGGGAGGTTACAATAAACTTTATTTACGCAGTAGTATCGTAACTTATAGGTTGATTCGAGTGAAACGAGATGCTTTTTCTTGGAAGAAAGAAGTGATGTCGACCAAATAAGTGTTTTAGACCAACAGATGCTGGATCCCTTACTATCACTCAGGAAGCTTGAGTGAAGTGTGCCTATAATATTGTTGGACATCACTCAATAGTAGTTCCATGAAACTTTTAAACTTTTCACAAGATGACAAGTGCGACGATGGAGTGCGACGTTTGTAACGAGAAATTTGACTCGGGCAACCACAAGCCTCTTTGCCTGACCTGCGGCCACACCTTTTGCTTATCTTGCATTACAAATTTATTGAAACACCCTGGAACCCGAAATTGCCCACAATGTAGAAAACAATTTCCCCAACATATTGATCAAATGATGGTCAACTACGCATTGATTCCTTCAGAAAACACGACGCGCCCACATCCTCCGAGCTCACAGTCAGAGGCTCGATGCCCCCATCATGGGAAGGCGCTGGATTACCTGTGCGTGGACTGCATGGAACTCGTGTGCTTCACGTGCACCAGGAGCACGCACGTTGCGCACAAAATTGAGGTGATAGACGACCTTCTTAGAGAGGATAAATTTTTGAACTCATGGTCGAAAATACAGACCACAATACACGATAAACTCGTTCGTGTGAATAACTTAGTCTCCGTATCAGACGATATTTTGAGTTTGATTTATGAAATGAAGACTGAATTTGAAGGATGGAAGGATTCGCTGCTGGCCCAAAAAATCTCAACAGAGCAAGACTTCCAGGCCTGGGGTGCCTTGGCCACCGGTGTGGTTGAGAATAGGCGACATGAATGCAAGGAAATTCTTTGCCGTCTAAAGTTGAAACCTCAAGAAAATATGGCGATACCAGCGATCAAAGCGAGGTTGTCTGCAGCATTGAAGAAATGTGATTCGTTACAGGTGAGCGGAATGACATATTTGAGGTGTAAATGTAGTTAGAATACAGAGCAGGAGTCTGCGCTGATTTGAGTTACGTAACCTGCAGGTTACAGCAGGTTTAGAGCAGGATCGGGCATGCTTGTCTCATACCAGCAGGTTTGAAACTCTTAGGGTATTGCCAAAAAATGATCAATCTTACATCTTTATCAAAATATGAATGCTGTAAAAGCGGATACTTCAAGCACCATTATTGTGCTGCGCTCGTTTATTTGGGCATTTATATGTTAAGTGTTTCTCAGATTTAAATTTTAGATTCAAGGGCCTGCTGTTAAGGCGACGGTGCGACAGTGCGCCGGCTCTGGCGCGGCCGTGCTGCGAGTGCGAAACGACCTTCAGGCGACGCCACCGCAAGGCGCGACTGCGGGTGCGACTCCTCGAACATTCCAGGCTCCTGGGCCGGTGAGTCATCGCTCAGAGAATGAGGGTCCATGTACAAGTAACGTAAAACTTATCACTCCTGCGTGGATCTTCCTGACCCAGTTTTTCCCAGCAACAAGCCTGAAGCCGTGCTACAATAATCCATTCATATTCTGAGTTTGTGCACCTATTTTCATGGTGCGCTACTCGGCGAATACATTGTGATATAAAAGATTTCGGGATGGCCATATATAGCGATAAAAATTACCCCCATATGATTCTCAACACTGATTGTCTTCTACGATTGATTCGTGTTTATTTCCTCCTTGCTGGTTTAATACTGACAATAATTTTGTGTTGTTTTGATTCCGAAAAAATACTTTACTCATTTCAATTTATACGAGAACGATAAATAGATCTAATGGATTTTCAAGAAAAAGGGAATAAAAGCAAGATTCAGGAGAAAATACCTATTGAGATTATTTCACATTCGACAGGAAGCGCAAACTATTACAGGGTCCACAATATTTATAGCAACGGATGTTTGCTATGTAAAAATATATTAGTTTCTAGGAGACTTTTCTTTTGTAATGAAGCTTAATATCATCTATTAATTCTTCAATTTTATATTGCAGAAGTTTAAGGAGTCTAAATTTACTATTACTTATGGCAGTAGATAGAAATGCAATTGTAACCCTTCATGAAAAGGGCGAGAGTAATTCAGTCATTGCAAAAAAGCTCCAAATTGGTCGTTAAACTGTGTGGAAGGTGGTAAAAAATTCAATGAAACTGGTGAAATATGCAATCGACCTGGTCAAGGAAGGAAACGAAGTGTCCGAACAAAACAATTGGTCAAAAACACGAGGGAGAAGTTGAGGAGAAACCCTCATCGCTCAGCTGCAAAATTGGCTGCAGAAGCAGGAATCAGTCAGACATCAATGCGTAGTGTCCTCAAAGATGACCTCAAAACCTCCCCCTTACAAGATGCAAACAAGGCATGAACTAACAGACCGGCATGAACGAATGAGGATCGAAAGATTCCAGCACATTCTGGACCTCATTGAGGATGGCACGCTGCCCAATTAACTTGATGTTCAGTGACGAGAAAAAATTTACATTGAACAGAGCGTTACCCGTCAAAATGACAAAGTTTGGAGTCGGGATGGATCTGTGGCAACCAGAACAGCAAAACGACATCAAAATCCCATGTCCGTGATGGTTTGGGCCGCGATAATCGCCACTGGGAGGTCCCCTCGTTTTTGTCCCCTCAGGAGTGAAATTGAACAGTCAGCGATACATTTCGGACATTTTGGAAACTGTGTTGTTACCTTGGGCCCGTAAACACTACATCGGCTAACTATGGAGTTTTCAATAAGACTCTGCCCCATAACATGGCTCAAACATGACCCAAAACTGGATTCAGGGTCAGATCGCAGCGTTCATTAGCAAAATGAATAGCCCTTAAGAAGCCCTGATTTGAATCCTCTCGACTTTTCTGTGTGGGCTATTTTAGAGAGTAGGGTCTGCAGAACACATCATGATTCTTTGGATAGTTTGAAGTCTAAATTGACACGAGAATGGGACTTGATCCCTCAAGAAATGCTGCGTGTCTCCTGTGAAGCTTTCCCGCGTAGATTGGAGGCCGCCATTAAAAATAAGGATGGTCATATTGAAATATGTCTGAGAATTGTTCAAGTAATTCTAGGCAACTAGCTCATCCAATAAAAAACAATGCACCTGTTTGTTTCATTGAGAAATAAAAAAAAACATGCATTTCCATAAATATGGCGGTCCCTGTACTTCGTATTTAAATTAGGAAACTTTAGAAGGCTGAAGGCTGTAGCAAGCGTACGAAAAAGAAACGTTCATAAAGCTTCATTTGAAGCGGGGAATTGATGACTTTCATATGCCTAACAAACGTTTTTTTTAAACAATATACTTTTTCTACTTTTGTAAACCCATTCATGTTACTGAATAACCAATATTGCTTATAGAATTACTCATCGTCTATATAAGTAACAATATTTAAATTTTCCCTGGAATTTCCAGACATATGAGCGCGGTGTGCCTTGGACAGTCACCAGGTGGGATGAAGGACAGCGAGCTGTCATCAGGCTGTGCAACAACATCAAGCCCAGTCGCCTCGTGGTGCTGTCCACCCACACCCGCCCCATTTCGGGCCTGGGGGAGCTGGTCACCCACCTCGCCGACCACCATACTGGCGACATCAGCGTGCTGCCCCTGGACTCCTTCTGGAGGCCGGCAGGACAGTCGGATGGAGGCATGGGAGCCATCATCAACAATTTAAGGTACATTGGTCAATAGAATGACAATTCCAAAAATAATCGCAATATGACCGTGTGGAAATGATGCTAAAATGCCCACTATTTATAAGCTTTCACTGGCATTATATGAGATCGTTGCAAGGAGGCTTGGGTGAGGAACCTTTTCTCGCGAATAAATTCAATTAATGATCATGAAATCAGCAAAAGAAAATAATACCAAAAATCATAATTATACGAATCACAAAAACGTAAAACGAATGCAAATAGAGTACGTATCATATTGTTGGCATCCGTCCATCTCGAGAGATGATGGTGTGCACCCCGTCCGTCATCGCACAACACGCTGTCGGCAGCGCCTCGAGTGGCTCGCCAGGCCGATTCGGGCATGGCAGTCACGACCGCAGTTGGCGCAAATGAAGCCCGACGGTGCGACGATGTTCCTTGTCTGCTGTCTGGCTTTCCGGAGACGGCGCTTGTTTTCAAGCTCTCGGCTGCGCGGCTCCTCACCCCTCCGGACTCCCACCCGAACGGCCGCCGCCAACCGCAGCGGTCGACAGCAAGCCGCTCCCAGGTTAGGGGGTCGATGAATGCTGTTCTGAGGCTGCGCTTGCAGACGTCTTTGAAGCGCAAAGCCGGACGGCCGGTCGGGCGCGCACCCGCAGCTCGTTCCCCGTAGAGCAAGGCCTTGGGAATGCGACCATCCTGCATGCGATGCTCGTGACCGAGCCACAGGAGACGGCGCTGGTACAGGAGGAAATGCATGCTCATTGTGCCGGCTTGTTCCAAAACAGCTGTGTTTGTGACCCTGTCCTCACATGTGATGCGGCGGAGGCAGCGAAGGTGGAAGCACTCTAGACGGTTTTCCTGTTTAGCGTATGTGGTCCAGGTTTCGCTGCCGTACAGAAGGGTACTAGTGACGCGTGCATGATACACTTTCAGCTTAGTGTGGAGCGACAACCGCCTGTTGGACTTTCGTTCTGTCTGGCCATCACACTTGGCGCTTTTGCAATCCTCTTGTCGATCTCGCTATCGAGCGACAGGTTGTTGTTGATTGTGGAGCCCAGGTAGCTGAAACGCTCGGCAACTTCGAGCTGATTACCGTCAATGGAGATAGATGGGGCACGACAACATTCTGACCCATAACATTTGTTTTCCTGATGTTGATTGTCAGGCCAAACTCCCTGCAGGCGTGAGAGAAGCAGCCCATCAGCTTTTGCAGATCCTCCTCGGCGTTATCAGCAAAGAGCAACTCACTGATGAGGACAGCGCGGACCTTTGTTCTTGCTCTCAAACGAGCCAAGTTGAATTGTTTGCCATCGCTTCTGGTATGTAAAAAGATGCCCTCAGTTGAGTCTCTGAACGCGAACTTGAGCAGCACTGAGAAGAAGATGCCGAAGAGAGTAGGGGCCAGGATACAGCCCTGCTTTACTCCGCTTTTGATACTAAAAGGCTCTGAGGTAATGCCATCATGGCTGACTACGCCCTGCATGTCGTTTTGGAAGGAAGAGATGATGCTGAGGACACGGGGAGGGGCAACCTATCTTCCTCAGCAGCAAGAACGGACCTCTCCGGCTGACAAGATTAAACGCCTTTGTCAGGTCGATGAAGGCAATGTACAAAGGCCTTCGCTGCTCACGACCCTTCTCCTGCAGCTGGCGTAATGAGAAAATCATGTCTGATGTGCTCCTCTGGGCCCTGAAACCGCACTGGGATTCCGGGTAAACGCGATCAGCGAGGGCTTGCAGGCGACCGACCACCACACGGGCGAATACCTTGCCCACAATGCTGAGTAGCGATATCCCTCTATAGTTGTTGCAGTCGCTACGATCGCCTTTGTTTTTGTACAAAGTGATAATCTTTGCGTCGCGCATGTCTTGCGGTACCTGGCCCTCCCTCCAGCAGAGACACAAGAGCTCGTGTAGGGGGCCAAGTAAGGTCCGCTTGCCACTTTTGATGACCTCTGGGGGTATTCCATCTTCTCCAGCTGCCTTCCCACAGGGGAGGATGACGATGGCTTTGTTTAGCTCTTCGACAGATGGTTCACCTTGCTCGGTGGTTCGCCTCCTGTGGCGCAAGGGGGACTCGCCCGGGGCCGGCAGCTGTTGGCCCCTGGAGCGGCAAAGGATCCACCAGGGGGCGGGGGGCAATGTGGGGTCAAGCCGCAAGGGGAGATGCCCAACACCCCCCCGCTCACAGCAGAGGAAGAAGGGAGTAGCCGCCCCGGACCCCTCTTTAAANTCCGATTTTACGCAAATAGTGAAATTTCGGATCGATTGTACATTTAGAAGTGTGTTAATATCAATTAAAAAATTTATGGCAGACAAACAAACAAACAACAAGAAGTGAAGTTAAAATAAGGGTTGTAAAAATTGGAGCGACATTCTCATGCCAGTTAATTTTGTTTTCAAGCACTCAATCGCTTGTCTCTTCAAGCCGAAAATGGCCGTATGTACATGCCTTTTAAGTTCATATCATGAAGATCATACCATATGGTGGTGATAATATATGGTCATATCATATATATATTTATCAGCGCTTATATGGTGCCAAGTCTCGTTGCTGTCGTCTTGCCTGGAAACATTGATCAGTAGCGTCGGTTGTTAGCAACCGAACACCAAGTGCCGCGCGCGCCCCGTAGAGTTGTGGCGTCAGTGGCACCGCGGCAGTGGGGGCAGTGACACGTAGCTCGTGGTGACTGCCGGGCCGTGTCTTGGCACCGAGGCAGTGGGGGCAGTGACACGTAGCTCGTGGTGACAATTGGAAGTGTTCCTGAGAAGCGCTGTCTTGTCTGTTCTCCTTATCATTAATATAGAATGCGCTTCCTTCGTTATAACTCATAATTTTAGACATTTTTCTTTGAATACTAATTTGTCACAACTGTATTAGCCGTTTGTGACAAACATTGAGCGGCAGATTTAATTTTCAAGTCCATCTCTTAGATAAAGCGATCAATTAGGAACTCAATCAAAATGGTGTATATAATCACGTCCACAGCCACGCAACGTTGACGACACAAGTTTGTTGTCACTTATATTACTGACGCAGCATTATTGATGAACTAAAACAATTACTTAATTATAGTACCATTCATCGCCATGCGTAATTTGCATAATGATTGGTATGTAGTATAATGTTGTACGTTTAAAATTTTCTTTAATTTAAATTTACCATGTGTCTGATCTAATTTTTATCTCTGAATAAGCATAGTCAGAATCAATTATTATTATTGCAATCAATTATTGCAATAAGCAGCAGCGAAGGTCAGCAGTTTTTCAGTGCTGTTTGTTTTAGTTTGAGCTCTCGACAGGCGAGGCAGCCTTTATGATCGACCTGCAGCAGAGACGTGGCCATGACATATGATCGACCTGCAGCAGAGACGTGGCCATGACATATGATCGACCTGCAGCAGAGACGTGACCATGACATATGATCGACCTGCAGCAGAGACGTGGCCATGACAACACGTCGCTGACGACGCTTTACTGACTTCTACTGAAATGTATCATGAGGTGTGGGAAAAATTTGCCCTTAGCAAATGTCAGAGCTCGTAAAGTTTCACTATGGTTTTATTTTTGTTGCATCTGTATATGAGGTTGATTATATACCTCATATAATGTACCTCATCTGTATATAAGGTTGATTATATACCTCATATAATATACCTCATCTGTATATAAGGTTGATTATATACCTCATATAATATACCTCATCAATGTCAGGTAATTTTACCGCCGCATTAAGTGCTGCTGGCAATGTCAGGTAATGGATGAGCCCCGAGGCGCCCGCCAGGCAGAGGCGCGTCTTAACAACGCGGCGCGTGTTTGGTCGCGCGCTTGACGACGCTGCGTGCACCAGCATTACCAGTCATATGTTATCAACTAACTTCTAATATATTAATTTGTGCTGCTTCTTCACTTGCAGGAGATATATACAGCCTGGTGCAATTTTATTAACATCTACCATGTATTCTTTTATTTTAAAAAATTAATAGACAACAGGCACTAAAAAATTAATAGACAAAATTAGATGGCACCAGATCATGGAAAATAGTTCGTCTTAATTTATTCCTTTAGTAAAGATCTCCGTTCATTGAGTGGAAGTTGTTGACATGCTTATGAAGCCAACACTCATATTTGTGCAGACCATGTCTTGATGACTGTTGTAATATACGGTTGAAGACTGTGCTAAGAAATGTGCCATTGACATTATTCATTCAAGTAAACAAAGACAAAGAACCTGCAGGCCACCGCAACGTTGGGGTGCGAAGTTTGTGACGGAAAATTCAACTCTGGCAATCAAAAGGGGTCTGCCCTGTGGCCAGTCATTTTGTTTCTCCTGCATTTCAAATTTGCAAAGATCTTCTGGAAAAAGAATTTACCCAAAATGCAAGCAACGATTTTCTCAGCCGATTTTCTTATGTTAGTTAATTACGCATTAATTTCACCAGATAACGAAACAATTCAATGCATCAGGTTACCACCGTCAGAGCCTATTGTGCCCTCCTAATATCATAATAATTATTATCAACATATTATAATTCAATAAATAATAAGAGTTAATTATTATAAAACGTCTGCTGTTGTATCGGTAGGGTGTTAAGGGGAGCGTCTATGTCCAAAATCGACAATTTTGACTTTTTCGGTTTTTAGTTTCATCTTAAAGCTGACATTCTGACCTATCCAACGGTACCAAAATCATCGCTGTACGTTGATTTATGCGTTCGCGACAGATCGCGAAAGGGCAAGGGTTGGTGGAGTTCTTTAACATTTAACATAGGGAGTAAATGCCTCAGTGCACCTTAAATAGCTAGTCTTCACACTGCGATCCAGTGACCCTTCAACAGTCGTGAGGGATGGTTTGCGCTCTGTTGTTCCCACCATCCTTGACAGAGATTTAGCTCCAGTATTGTCTGGTCTTGCATCCTTGCAACCTTGAATGCCGATTTCGAGGCGCCCGGGACTTTGTCGGGCTCTACTGAACAATCACACTTATTGTCACTGGAAGCCTATCTCCTCCTACAGTTTTGAAGCTACAGCAATG